AACCCTAAACCCTAAACGCTGTAAAATTGCTTGAGGTTTCGACTTCTACCTTGTCTCCCAGACCTATGTCATTGGGACTGCCAAGCCCACCCTGTACTCCGTGCCCGATTCTCAGCATCGTCCTTTGCTGGGCTTCCCCTCCGAAGTCCGAGTTCGACCCGCATGGCTTGCGGTTTGCAGATGCTACCTAAAGTGCAAGCTCCCTGAATCCCAGACACCGAAACCCGAAAGCTATCAGCCCTGAAACTTCTGTAACCCTCAACCCTAAACCCCACAAACGCCTGACCCCATGAACCCCTAAAGCCCAGAAACCTTGAAGCCCTGAAGCTCTGACTGTTCGAAGCCCTGCGGCCACGAACTTCCGAAAGCCTCAAAGCGCCGTAGCAGGATTTCCGGTTGATAGGACTTGAGGTGTAGGACTTTGGGTTTAGGGCTTACAGGTTTAGGATTTAGCATCTCGGATGTAGGGTCTAATGTAGGGGCCTAAATAATTACCAATCCTATCTTGGGGGTTCTTTACTATAGCTGTATGATAATGGGCCGGCTAGGTTTTGGAGTTGGGAGTCTGGGGTTTAGGTGTTGTCATTGTGCCGGTTTGGGGTTTCCAGCTCTGATGTCCGTCGGTGCTCCGGTCAAGATTGTTGACGATCGTCGGTTTCCGAAAATAGGGGACCCCAAAATAGAACCCTAAATAGTAGTTCTAAGGACCCCAAAATAAGGTACCCCTTGTTTTCGGAAACTCCCACTTCTAGCCAACACCCACTTTTTGGGCGAGGCTTTACAACACACTGACCTTCTCCAAGTCGGAGATCATCCGCCTCACCTACAGGCTTTGCGCAGTGCAGCCCATCAGCATTTGATATTAGTCTGGGACAGGCCTGCGTCAACTTTTGGTTAAGGGTTCGGTGCGAGCGCAGCGGCATGACGTCATAGCGCGATCGCCGAGAGGTCATTGCGACTGTTTCGACGCCTGCGCGATGTAGAAGGAGCAGCCTTGTCAGAGCTTTGCAAGTAGGAGGGAAACGGTCTATAATTATAGTATAGAACAATAATGAACAATATGACATAATTTAAGATAGTATAAATAAATAAATAAGTAAATAAATAAATACTCATAATATCAATACTTAAAAGTCAGGTACATGACCTTTGCCGGCATGGTTGGGAACTCAGCGCACAGCAGAGGCAGGCAATTTCAGCAGCCTTCTTTTCCAGCCCAGCATCGCGTTCTGCGGGCTGCCGATACATGTTGACTTCAGTTGTTGATGCTCGTTGACTCTTGTCGACAACAGGAATCACGAGGGTTGATTGATGTTGAAAGGGGTCGTCTCAAGGATCGAACTTGAAATGTTGCCCTGTGCAAACAGGAGTCTGCCCGTCCGATGTCGTACCTTCCCGTAGCTTGTTGACGCCATAGCTTCGGGCTCAGAGAGGGACTCGACATGTTACTGGTGGCCATAACTCATGAGGATGCCACGGGAATGCAACCTTTTAAGAAGTAATGAGATGGGAACCAAGTTAATTACAGGTTCACCAAAGGGACGCAACCGGCCAGCTTGGAGGGATAATTAGGCCGAGTTCTGGTAGAGCATCACAACTTGAGCCGCGGCCTCGTGAGCGATGGAGACCGCGCAATGCCCCTACGAGCTCATGGGTGTCCCTCGCGACGCAAGCCCCAGAAGCATCGAAAAGGCCTGGCGGCAGAAGGCCCGACGGCTGCACCCAGATAAGGTGCCAGAGCATCAGAAAGCTCAAGCTGGCGCCTCCCAAGAGGCGACAGCAGGATGATGATCTGGAGGAACGGCAAGAGGTCGCAAGGGCAAGGGCCGGTGCGGAGAGAGCAGCCCGCGCGGAGAGAGCAGCCGAAGCTGCAGTGAGAGCACATCGACGAGAGGAGATGCGCTTAATCAAAGAGAAGGAAGAGAAGGAGCAAAAGATGAAAAGGTAAGCAGAAAAGCAGAAGGCATCAAAGAAAAGCGAGTCGCTCTTGGCTGCAGCGAGGGCTGCCCTGCGCCAGGATAATGAAGCCGCCCCTGCAGCGATGCAGCAAAAGGAGTCCCAGCGAAAGTAAAAGCCAGAGCTTGCTCTTGAGAAAACCAAGCATGAAGAGAATGAGGAACCCTGGTGGCAGTGGCTGAAGGCAGTGCTCCCGTGCTGCTGTGGCCCAAGGTCCAGGTGAGCTGCCGATTGCAAGAGAATTCGTCATTCTTCAAGACGACCCGATGACGGTTTTGTAATTCAACGCATTCAATGCTATCTTACAGTGCCGCTTCTTACCTGGAACTCCATGACGGAAAACCAGGTCTTGAAAACTACAAGTGTCAGCCCAAACTTCACCGCTCCAGTCATACCGAACAAGGCCTTTCTCGCGGTTTGGAAAGTGCAGCTTCTGACAGCTGCGGTTGGTACCAGATGCTGATGGTGCCAGGCACGGATGGTCTCAAAGAAGACCGAGGCCCCAGCTGGTCCCAGCTTCCGTGCTGAGCTGAAGCACGGCCGCTTGGTGTTGACTTTGTCCGTGGGAAGTTGTCCTTTGGAGCTTTACCAGTGCCCCATCATGCTTTCTTTCCTGCCACTGGTGTCCTCAAGTGCGTCTCTGGCTCAGCATTGTGGAGTTGTGCTGCGCCAAGAAGGTCTTTGAATGGAACTCTTTCTGGAGGTTACAGGTGATAACGGCCTCACCAGCCTCTTCCCCAGCGATGAGCAGGGTCAGAAGAAGATGCGCGCGGCCGAGCTGAAGAACGCACACTTGGCCATGATGGCATTTGCAGGGGCGGTGACCCAGCCTGCCCGCACAGGCCATGCGTTCCCATGGCAGTTCTGAGCAGATCGAGACGATCGGCCTTTTGTTCTAATAGGTCCGTAAACCCTGTGGATCAGTAGGCTTAGTCACAGACAAATGGACGAAGAATGCCTGGAAATGCTTCCAGGAAAAAAAGTGTCACGTTCTGCAGCTAGCTTAGTTGGCGAAGAAACTCCACTGTTATTCAAAGGGCCAACACATGAAACGGAGATCCGCCACGTGATGAGCTTGATCGTTTCCTCAAAGCGGGCCGGCCAGAGGTAAAGGCTGCACAGAAGGAAGGGTTTAGGGTTTAGGG